AAAGTTTTTTATACTTGAATATCATTTCTTTGAACTTTCAAACAAGTTTATTTCAACACATGTCATTGTATGTTGTTTCACTATACAGACAAAACTAATTGCCACTACTGGTGAATGCATGTAATAGTTTACAGTACAGGTGGTTTGAATAACACCACCTGACCCTAATTACTTGATACATCCTGTTAGAAGAGATTACCAAATGATACAGACACCATAAATTAGAAAGAAAGTTACTTTATAGCACTTAAAAGATTAGTCCTCACATTCCCCTCATTATAAGCAAGAATTATGTTGGAATTCAAAACTTAAGCTCTTCAATGCATTGACAACCCAACTATGAGAATGTCATACCTTCCCCTGTATTATTCAGACAAATGTATATAGTCTGTTTAGCCTAAGTAGCTTTAAACTCTGAACAGTATACAACGATTTATATTTAAATTTTGTTTTATTGACCTTTGAACGTGTCTAACTACCATTTGTGTCATGAGTTGTAAGTCACTTGGGGAATGTGGGGCTCACGTTATGCTAACGAATTACATTACTCATGAGCCACTCCAAGCTGCTCACTTGCTTGCCTTGTGAATATTTTTTTATTATTATTTATTTTACTTAATCTAACGTTAATTAATGTATGGAGATTCCTATTTTTACATTTTAATTTTATAACAATAAATAAAGAATACATATGAAAAACAAGAAAAAGTACTTATCTGGACTTTCTTTTGCTGTCGATGACACTTAACCCTACTTTTGTTTTTGTACTAATGATAACAGTGCACTAAATAAATTAATTAAATAATGCACCAAAGAACAGAGTAATAACATGCAAAAAGTAGACAATGTCCCATAACTATCACAATATTTCCGGTTTTCTAAATGTGACAAGAGCCGTTACAAATTGATCCACACTTGTTGATATCTTTCCCGTTAGAATAAAGCTTGTACTAACACACAAACGGATTATTCTCTGTTCAGAAACAAGTAATTTATGTCATTTCAAAGATGAATACTTTGGCTTTCTATTGGTTATGAATAATATAATATTGAACACAAGAGAACTATTAAGAAATCCTGAAAGAGAGAATGTGACAGGTGTGTATGACAAGAGGTCCGATTTTCTATTTGATGGCTCTGTAACCAAACAAGATTGAAGATTGTAAAACTCGTGTTTTATCCGAGAGAGGACAGTTTGATATTCAGTATTTTACATTAAATTTCATACTTATTGGAGGGGTAGTGAATAAATTATGTAAAAGGGGAGGGAGTGCCAAGAGAAAAGAAATTTCTCACACTGGGGGAAATTCATGATTTTAGTATTTCCTTATAAAATCAAGAACTTAAAATTTGTATGCTATTAAAATATGATCTATTAGCTATAATTTTATGCTATACTGATTGATATAACAAACAAAAAGTAATATAAATCTTTAAAGCAAGTTATTAAAAACCTTGTGACATGCACAGTAAGCGAAAAGGTCAATGGCTTGAATTACTTCATTCTCAACTGCAGTAATAAAGCCCTCTATATGTGGTTCTCTCCTGACTGGGGGTGACCCAGAAGGATTTGACTTTAATCTGCAAGTCAAGATTATTTGCTTTTGGGGTTTTATTCTGAAAAAATTCCCAAAGTATTAACCTGCATGCAAATTCTTATAGGTTGGAAATAACTCAAAGCTATCCATATCCATGTTTTCAGGGACAGGAGAACAATTGAGAAGTTTATGTTGAGTTTAATTTAATATTTTAGTGGACAAATTTATGACACTGGAAGTGTTCTAAACCTTGAGTCACTCAGACCAGGAAGTGACTAAATTACTTGGGAGTAGTCTAAGATACAGCTTAATGTACATGTTTGTATTGTTAGTTATTAATCAACAGCTCACAGGTAGTAACAATATGCATTTGTTTAAAGATATTTTGATGGGAAAATCCTTTATCTGTATGTGAAATGGAAAGATTATGATGTGTTCATTGGTAATAAATACATCTAGTTTCTGTTGTTCAAGTAGGACAAATTATGCTCTCAAAATTTATAATGGAAATTTTCTTGTCAAGATTGGCTATTGTGGATTTGAAAAAGTCTTGTGAGCTTCATTAGTGTAATTAAATATATATTTTTTAATATTATCTACATTTTAACTCTTTCTCTACACTGGTATTAGTTCCTATACATTGCTTTACATTATCATTTTCTCTAATTCCCACCCATATTAAAACTTAACCTTAACTATTATCTCTTATGTCGTTCATATAATGTACACATTTCTTTTATAGAAACTAAACCCGTCAACAATGCCTCCAATTATGAATGTCTAGTATTAAAGATCAACTCATCTGGAAAGTCCAGCTTACATTATATTGATATCTGTACCCCTATATTACAAGGCACTCAATAATCATCTCTTTCTATTCTCCTAAAGAATAGTCAACTATTCAAAAGCACTCAAACTTTGGATCATTTTTTGAAATTCAATGCATCTTTTGTGTGTAATCCTGTATGCTAACAGTTATCAGAATTAACCCCATCAATGGTCAGGGGTCAAAAGCCATGTCATCACATTTGTAGACTTACATTGAAAATTTTATTGAACAACTATTTTATGAATGTGTCAATAAGTTTGGTATCAAACTAGATTATAATTCAAATTTTTATACTATACATTAGTTAATCTCTTAATTTAAAAGTAATTTAAAAAATCCTTAAATTTTGATTTTTGTACGTCATGTAGTATATTGAATGCAGCTTTGGTTAAAATCAGATGTTTGTCATGTCAACTTACAAAAGTCTATTTGCATGTGAATTAGAAACTCAAATTACTGATACTGAAAAGCTAGAATACAAGATAAGAACCTCCTATCTTTTCTATTTTCTGAGATGTTATATTTAGTGAATCAACCAAAGTGGCTCAGCCCATCTCTTTCAATTTTGGAAGTACTTGCTTACATACACCTACTTCACCCAATGACATGTATATAACCAATCAAAAGCTCAGAATGTCCTCCACATGGTTTTCTCAGCCTAAATTGTTTATGTGGTGAACCATTTCTTTTCATGGTAGAATCAAAAAGATGAGGTAAGACATTATGGAGCTCATATTTTTAGGCCCAAATACAGCTTAGTTACTAAGCCTGATAAATTATAGTGGAATTATGTGGTATTGATGTAGTGATTTATAGTTTATTTCAAAATGCATATATAAAACAAAAATAGTGTTTTACGTCCTCCACATGCAAAATTTGACAGCAAATGAGTACATATTTTTGTATGTAGAAGAGATCATTGTCTTCTATACTTTTTTATTTACTATTCTATGTTTTAAGAAAAATAAATTTAATCTTAAAATCAAAATTTCTTTGCATGTTAAATAGTCAACGTTCAAAAAGAAAAAATGCATGAGCAAATAATTAAATATCTAATATTTTGTTTACAAATGCCTTGTAATGTTTACTGATAATCTGCAAAGTTACAAGAAGATGTGTACATTTTAAAAAGTTACAGCATAACTGCTTTATGGTTACTTTGGGGATACGGTCTGGGTAGAATCCACCCACACATAGTAAATGGTTGAGAATTACAATAATATTTCAAGTTTTGAAAGTTGATTCCTAAGTACTCAGACTGACCTGAATATCTAATTGCCAAGAAATGGTTAAAGCTGAATTTATTCGTCGTGTGATGCACTCAAGTTGAGTGACTAAAGTGTAAATATCATTATCCTTCACAACCAATTCGATTGTTACATGGAAGTTGATTTTTTTATCAATAATATATTGTAATAAATAATAAACCTGCATTGATAACAGCAGCTGCAAACTCCAATAAAATAAAATAATTAAATCTTGAAACTTTTTCTTTGCTCATATATTAAATGTTCATTTTTTGCTATTTAAGACCACAAGTCACCCCATGCCTTCCACAAGCTCAACAAGATCATAAAGATAAATTTAACTGCACCAACATTTGAGATAAGTACCCGAAAGATGTGTCAGTAAAATCGTCTGAAACCCTATTATGAGAAATCACAATACTAACAAATGTACATGTATAAACCACTTACCAGCAGGTGCACTGCCTCCAGTACCACTGCCACCACCAGTTCCACCTGTTACAGCAACACCACCTCCTACTGGCATGGATGCCAGCTTGGCTTTTCCTGAAACATAACACATTTCAAGTGCAAATTCAGACTAGAAAACCCTAATGAGAACAAAATTTCAAATAGTAAAGAGCTAAATTGCACTCATGTACCCATTTTGGAAAAGAAATAAAATTATAAATCATGTAATGTAATTCATGTTGTCATCATAAGAGGTAACATCTGACAGTATCCTTCCAGTTATTGTGAAGGTAAATTTTAGTCAAGTTAAGAGGAGGTGGATGATGAAAATACATAGATGACTATACTGCAAATGGAAAAAGTTGAATAAAGAAACAGAAGTGTAACCAAATGATGTAAAGAGAGGATAACATGCTTTATTAGAATTATTGTAGACGTACATTTATTTTCCCTAACCCAACATTTATATTACACTCGTGAAAATTATTATTACAGCATACTAACATGTTAACTTACAGTGAATTGTGTTTTTGTGATAAATAAAATTGTAACACCTAACTACACTAATACTATGACACATCTCACAACAAAATTCAGTTTGACTTTTTTTTATATAACTTCCAAGTTACATACCATATTGGTGAATACACACACACTCATAACTTTATAATTATGAAAATTAAACTTGTTTTAGTCTTTTGTTTCACATAACATACATTCCAATCAGTTTACTGCTCAACTTGACACCAGAATTTTAAACTTCCAAATTTCAAAAACTGAATTACTTAACTTGCTATCTAAGCTAGCTAAAACAGAACTGTAACATTCAAAAATTAAAATGCATCACATTGGTGTTCTTAGTTCAAAGCACTTCGTTAAAAAACTCACAAAACAAGTTACTTTTATTTCAAAACACTAACACTGAGCTTACCTGCTTCCATCAATTCATTAAGATCTTTCCCACCAAGTTCTTTTATTACTTTTGTAAGTTGTTCACTTTCAACTTCAATACCCACACTTCCCAAGATCTTCTCAAGATCTTTAGCGGAAGGATTCTTGTTCCCACCAAGTACAGCAAGCAAGTAAGCGGCCACGTAACGCATTCTTGAAAAACAAAAATAAATGTCAATGACTGATTTTCTAGTTCTTAAACAGTTTACACAAGTGGTCAAAATTGAAATTCAACATAATGATAGAGCTGGTACTGTAAGACTTAACATTTTTATTGCATAACACATCATTACTGATGTTCAGAATTATTCCTACTACGAGGCATTTAAATCATTCAAAAAACAGTGTCAGGAATGCAAATAGAAAAAAGTTATTGAATAGGCCAAAGACTGTGAAATTTATTGTAGCATTTCTATAAGGTAGTAAACGAGTTTCTTTACATGTATATTAACAATTTATCTGCCAAATTAATACGCCCATTGATTAACCAATTAGCAAATACCACTAATCCTCCAGCTCTAATTATTAGCAACTGAGCTACTCATGATTCTGTAGGCTAATTGATTTTATTTTTAGCAGCAATATGTCACAAGTAATAAAAAAATTAAAGCAATACAAACTGATCAGTAGTGCTAGTAGAAGTCTATTGGACCCCCCCCCCAACCATCCTGGATTGTCTATTTTGATTCTAGTTTCTCAGAGTATGGATATACAAGAGTAACAAGTTGAAACATTCGTGAATCATTTCTTTGAACATTTTTTAACATAAATACTCCATCTAGCAAGCTTTGACAATTTAAATTTTTTTAAAAATGAAAATCAATATTGTTCAAGTATGTATTGATGTTCGCACATTTTGAAAAATAATTATGTAAGCCTATAATCTCTAAATATTTTGTTTGAGTTTATAAATTTGACTATGTAAACATTTATTGGAAAATGTCAAAAAACAATGTTTATTTACTTCACAAACATTAGTTGATTTAGTGCAGAAAGATATTAATCTCATTATCAGATAGCTATGGGTTTTGTACTACTATGGTACCTTTTCACATACAACAGTTTTCAATGAACAACATATTGTTAACTGTTTTCATCACAGGATTGGTCCCTAGGACAGCCTAAACAATTTTGTGCTTGTCATATAGTTTTCATGCTACAACTTTTAAATCAGCAAGCAAATGTTAAAAAAATTTGGCAGATTATTAGTTAATATTACAATGCATTCATACGCAAAATCAATTTATTTTATTATGCCTCGCCTGTAAAGCAATGTTTTATGCATGTCCTTTTTTTCTTTTTGCATGTTGCCTATTGAACAATCAAAGTAATTTTCATTTTAAAATTAAAAATACCTTTATGCATCAGAAAAGTTTCAAATTTCACATGCAAAATCTATATAATGTCCAGATAGTTATCAAATGTTTCTTAATAAAAAACTATATATTATATCTGTTCTTTTCAGTAACAAATCTCTGTATGGGTTCAATAGATTTGACTGATTTTGTAACCACCATAAAAAATTAGGAAATAAATAATGCCTTTTTCATTCTAGAATGACAACACATTATAACATGAAAACAAATATGTAAACTAAATAGCTTAAATCTCAAAACTTTATACACCTCTCTCTCTCTCTCTCTATATATATATATATATATATATATATATATATATA